TCACTAACACACACAGGAGGTAAAACTGAAATACAGGGTCTGCGGGTGTTGCTAAATCACTGAAACAAATAAAATCAAAAGAGGACTAACTGTGTTAAACTTGTAAAGTGAACTACAAAAGAAAACAACCAAACTCCCTTGACAAGCTGAAATACAAGGACGGCAACACCTCTGCTCCCAGTGTAGCTAACAAAGGACAACTGATGATTGTGTGCAGGTGTGTGAAATTAGCCCAGCCTGGCCCAGGTTCCAGGCAGTCGGACAAGTGCCTCCAAACAACAAATCACAAAGCTCAGAGCTACAAGTAACCACTTCTAAGAGGCTACTGGAAACACAGAGAATAGCAAGTATGAAGTCATTACAGAACACACAAACACAACACGTAAGCACACACTAGCAGAAACACCAAACTGCCATCAAGTGTTACAGATCTGCTACACAAAGACAACGTGAGGCAGCTGTTGAAATCAAATCACAGCTGCTTAGGTCGACAGGTTAGGTGTCATTTTGGTTGCATTCAAAATCGTAGACTTTGTCTTTTTGCTGTGAGTGTGTACAGCAGCTGCCCTCACACAGTACATACGGTTTCATGCAGTATGCATACAACTGGGAAAGACGACTTGGCATAATATTGCACCCTAAACTTCAACTTTTGCAGTCTGTAGTGCGAAATCAGCTGTTGTCTGTCTGGCAGCAGAAATTTAAAACAAAAAAGCAGTTTCTACCGTAATCAAGAAAAACTAGAGATAAGAATTTGTTTGGTTTTATAATGTATTATATATCAATATAAATTATGTTCCTTTATTTGTTTTTAACCCTCTTCTAGGCAGTTTTTGCTAGGTGCGCCACCTTGCAGCCCCTCGCTGGATGAATACGACGTACTGTAACTATGCAGGATTGTGGGTCGCAGAAGCATGCTGGCTAAAATCTAACCAGATGCATTAGAACATCCAGGTATTTTTGGAATGCCAGATCAGACACACCATGTATTGGGACATATTAAATCTTTTTCTGACATATCGTATGGTAGTATGAGTGCAGCATCCCCTATGTTCAGGTTTAGTGATTGCTGCAGCTTGATTCGAACATGAGGAACGTGCTGGAGGACAAGACTGGAGCTCCAAACCAATCAGCCAAAATGACTGGCAGGGTGTGAAACCACGAGTAAGGAAGGCGCACAGCCAAATGGGGCCAGAACAGGAATAGTGTAAATGTTTTCTTTGTCACTATGGGTTTTGCCTCACTGTACTTTTCCTGTGCAAGTTGGCAAAAAATGCCTTCCTGCCTAAGTTTCCAAACTGACCTCAGACAACAGATCTGCACCCTGCTGTGTCTCTCTTTGTCTGATTCCTGACATTGCGCGCTGACTCTACCTCAAGGCCTATGCAAGGATCACTTTCTTCTGCAAAATGGGTGAATTTAAAAATATGATTGTCCTTAAAATGTGTCCCTGCTCTTCCCAACTGCTTCCAGTAACAATCACAGCTATCATTCAGTGTGCTAGCCTACTTGTTGCACATTTTCAATCCCAAACCTGCATTCTTTTATTAAATGTTGTGTTGTTTTATCATTGTTTAGCAGCATTTAATAATTGTGTGATCCTGTGTTTTTCATTGTTTGGGAACTAAAGGTCAAAGGAATCCAAATTCACAACTTCTCATTCATAGATAATCTTCAAATTACACCTAGTTGTGCAGTTTTCAATCACAGGCATAATTATGCTACACATACTTTTCTTTAATATGCTGAGTGTGCTGTTAATGCTCATTATTATGCCACAATGCAGCGCATAAAGGAAACTGACAGTGAACAAACTAATTGTAAATAGTGGTAAAAAAAAGCTCCAAGAACATCTGAGAAGACAAAAGATCACTAAATGTCTGTTTGTTTTGCAGTGTAATTCTGAAGCGTCTTTGCACCGTGCATGTAATTCACTTCCTGGAACCTACAAGATATCTACACAAATGAATACACTGGCAGAGCACTTCAGTCAAGTTGGCTGCAAACATTTTTGCAGTGCCTTGAAATCTCTTCCTATTCAGCCCATTCTATCAGGAAATCAATGGGGAAGCCAAAATAAAAGCAAGCACTCACCAGCACACCTGAGTGTTATTCAAAAGCATTTTCACAAGATGACTGCATTGCTTGGTAAGTAAGGCCGCACTCAGACCAACAAAAACATCGTGCCGGAGTCATCCAGCAATCTAGCAGTCCCCATTCCAGACAGAGTGGAGTAGCTCTACTGTTTACCTTGGAATCATAATGAGGGAAAATAAAATGATTATCGCTGCGGTAAGTACATTCCCCGTGTGGTGTTTTGTGATGTGAAGTGTGGAAAATCATTGATGTACTATGAAACCTGGACTTTCTGCATAGTGAGTTGTCTTTTTACCAGTACCTCCAACAACACAACTGCACCAGTACAGCCATTTGCTTCAAAGCAATTTTTGGTCAAAACACAATCCAACCCTCTGAATCCCCAAAAACCCATCAACAGGTGTGAAAAGCATGCTGTCTTTTTTTTTTTCCAAATGGTTTTTAAATCACTGGAATTCAGAGTCAGAAACTGTAAAAACACAAAGAAAAGTCAGATTTTTAACTTTCTGACAGATTCGGAACTAATCACCTGTGATGTGCTGTTCAGCTGGAAAAATGAATCAGCTCATACGATTCTATCAAAATCAAATTTGCAATAAAAATAAATTGTTTCTGTCAAGGGCTGCAAGGTGGCTCAGTGGTTAGCACTGTTGCCTCGCAGCAAGAAGGTCGCCGGTTCACGTCCTGGTGGGGGCTTTCTGCGTGGAGTTTGCATGTTCTCCCTGTGCAGCGTGGGTTCTCTCCAGGTTCTCCGGCTTCCTCCCACAAGGTCGTGTTGAGGTTAATTGGTGACTTTAAATTGTCTGTAGGTGTGAATGTGAGTGTGCTTGGTTGTCTGTCTCTAAGTGTAGCCCTGTGATAGACTGGTGACCTGTCCAGGGTGTCCCCTGCCTTCACCCTAAGTCCACTGGGATAGACTCCAGCCCCCCAAGACCCTAGTGAGGATGAAGCGGTGTATAGATAATGGATGGATGGATGGATGTTTCTGTCAACCAGATTTGCCAGAAAACAATAAATTCTGTGAGAAGTCATTTGTGAATCAGCCACGACTAACAGTCATGTGACAGAAATTCTGGGACTTTTCATTTAAACTAAGTTGAACTGCAGGCAGCGTTAAAACAAAGTATGAAAAAACAGAGTGAACTGACAGAGAAAAACACAAGGTTACGTTTCAGACTTCGACGGCTGCTTTGGTTTTGGTGGATAAAAAGCCACAGAAACATCTTGTAAAGACCAAATGTGGCATCAACGAATTTCAAAAAGAATCTTTGCAATCATCTGCAGTCTAATCAATATGTTCTGGCATCCTCTGAAAGACAAAGAGACACATAAACTCCTGTACATGCACTTGAACACGTACACTTTAAAGGCATGACAGCATGAAGAAATACATAGCTAAGAAAAACATACAGCCACGTACACACACATGAAACTAATTAAGAATGTGCATGCTTCAGACAGACGTGATGGAATTAGTTTGACTTCAGCGCAACCACTGAGATTGAAAATGCTCATTTGTCAAACTTTCCTTCCATCTTTTGTCTCGCTCACTCTTTCGTATTGATGTTAGCAAGTGTGCTGCCAGCATCCCTGTCCATCTTTCCAGTCAACCCCCCTGCTCCATCTATTCATCCACCCATGAATCATGCATGTCTTCCCTGCCTTCTTCTGTCCAGTCAGTTTGTCTCCCAGCAGGATGCCAGTTATCTTTATCTAACCATCAATCCTCTCTCTTCCTTCAACCTCCAGATCTATTGCCTCTCCCTGGGGCGACGGAGTCTACGAGCGGGGTATTAGTTCTTCCAGTCGGTCTGAGTACTTAAACAGGCCAGACGTCGATCGAGTTACTGTAAACCGACTCCAACGGAATATATATTTTAACATACACAAGATCCATATTCAAACACACCACCTCAGGTGCTTGCAGCCGAGGAATAACAATCTCAGATACGAGGATCGTGAGTGAGAAAAACACATTTTCTGCGCTTGTGAAACTCTGATTTGAAATCTGTTGCTTGCTGGCTGGCTGTCCCTTACGCTCTCATCTTTCCCGTCACTCTCACTGTGTATGATCTAATGAAGCAGGAATATATAAGAATGATCTTAAAAACTGTAATAAAATATTAAAGCACATACTTTTTCTGCCAGAGACCCAGCCTGAGTCTCTTGTGGCATCCGGGCTCATTAAAACATATTGCTATTTCTAAGATAGCGGCTGAAAGAGATAGACTCTGTGACCCATTTTGGGTCCCTGAAAGACATTTTAATAATACGAGAGTCGCTCAAGTTGTTTACAGTGATATGAAATTCTTCCCGGTTAGGTAAAGAGAAAAGGGAACAAAGAGATTTCTCAATCAGCAGAGAAAGAGAAGAAACAAACAACAACAAAAAAAAAACAGAAACAGAATAATCTTACCAGTTAGTCTTGTTATTTTCTGAATTGAATAGATTCTGTCTTTAATATAAACAACACAAATAAAAGTATCCCCACAAGCACCTTCATGAGCTGAAGTACATTTTTCTTGAAGCTGGGCTTTGTTTTGTTTTTTTTGTCACCAATATTTTGACATTTTTAAACAAGAACTGGCAACACAAAAGGAGACAAATAAATGCAGGGCTCTAAACTACAATACATACAATATCACAAGCCTAAAAAGCAGAATAAACTGTTGAATTTCTCTTGTCGGACAGAAGCAGAGAAAGACATGGCAGCTGTGTTCTGTATATAGCTACGTTCCTGTGTGTGTGTGTGTCTGTATTTGTACCTGCACTTGCAAGACGGAGGTGAAGGTTTTGGCATCCTCCGCGACTCCTCCAATGTAAAGAGATCTGGTGAACACTGGTGGGTGGTCGTTCTCATCCTGAACATCAATCACCACCTTAGCTGTGTTAGCTGGAACACACACACACACACACACACACATTGCACATGATACACTGCTGCTTTTGGCATGACAAAAAGAGCACTTTTGTAAAGCACATGCGGTATTCACTGGTTACACAGGCTGCATGGAGCTGTTTGATGAGCTGTGTGGGATTCTTTAGAGGAACACAGTTGCGTGTTTTATACCAAAAGAACAAACTATGGGGATAAAAAAAGCCACATTGAAAATTTACACGAACACAGTCACTGATGCAGAGCTCCAGCGGACGAAGGCCTGCAGTTCTGTCCCTGCAGTAGTCCAGTCTGTGCCACATATCGACGAGAAGCCACATGCCAGCCAGACTCCTGCAACAGCTGAATGAAGTGTAACTGCAGCAGCGATTACAACCTTTGCCTGTAGGTGATGACACTGACATGTCTATTGCAGGTCCGAACCGGTGCTGTTGTTTTCCCTGTTCTGGAGGTCATGCAGGCCGGCACGCCTAAAACCGGTCGAGCAGTGATGAACAGTCTCCTTTAGTGAAAAACCCACAATTAAAGTGACTACAATCTGTTTTCATGAGGCGATGAGCAGCGTTTTGAGAAGTCAGAGTGCCTGAAAACTAATTTCAAATTAAATTTCTCGACAACGTTAAACAGCCGTGACTAAACAGGCTACAGTTAAAAGTTTGGAAAGTAAAATCAAATAAAAACAATTTAACCCCTCGGCTGTCCTTATCGGTTTCATGAGGACTCTGTGTGCGGTTTGATCAGATTTAATCAGCAGCTTTGGTGATGCAAACCGCCCCACGACTGTGGCTACAGTCCTGTTCCTAAAGTCACTGGAGCGTAGATGTAGTATCCCCAGCTCTCTTTGTAATAGTGTAAGCTCTTGACCTTACTTTATATAATACAAATGAGTTGACTAATGTAAAGATTAGGAGTTATATGAATGAAACTGAACAGATTGAGGAGGCCCCAGACAAAAAGTCCCTCTATACTCTAAAAACTCATCTCTGTGTCAAAGTTACTTATTAAGAAGCAATTTTTACCATGAAAATAATCAATTTGTACCTTAAAATGGTTTAGATTTAACTCTACACAGTTGCATTCTCTTGATCTACCATCTACATAGTCCTTGCTTCTCTCTCACCTCATAGCTCTGCTCAAACACTGTAAAATGACCTTACGCCACACAATGGCACGTTGTTATAACTGATGTAATTCCTTCATACATGCTCAAACAGAAACAAATGCTGAAGAATAAAGACACAGAAAACCTGACAGGATTGGTTCCTTTAGTTTGTTATGTATGAAAAACCACAGATCCATATGTTTGAACATGTTAACAAGGTAAACAAAACGTGATTTTTACAGAAGGGATCTTTAATGATCCATTAATTATAAACAAAATAAGGGTTCAGGGCTTTAAAGGGTTTTTAAAAATGACTGAAGGACTGTTGGCTTCATTTCCAAAGCTGAAGTTCACAGTCTGGATGTCTACAGGGAGGCAGGCCAGGAGCAGAGGTGACCCTGATCTGAGCCATCTGATAAATTTTTGAAATGCATGCATCAAGAAACCTCCCTGGCCATGACTATTGACAACGATGTTGACATCCTGACCTTTCCGAGGCGAACGTCTTGAAGATAATGCCCAGGCCAAAATGAAAAAAGACAAGTTTTTCATCGCTAATTTAAAGCATTAAGCATGGAGGTGTGTATTCCTACTGACCAAATACGTGACAGGCCTTACTGTCATTCCACCGCGCTGCTTATTCAGTAGAAGAGGAAATGTTTTGCCAGTGAGCCTTTTGTCATTTGTATTCAGTGACTGCAGCTCGGAATGACTCACATTCAGTCTTATCTGGCCACAAACAGGGAATTCTGAATGACACCTACGTAAAAGTGCCACACGACGCGTCAGCCGAACTCTGCAAAAGGGGTGAATTGTGTCAGAAAGAAAGAACAAATCCCAGGATTGTGAACTCTTCAAGTTTTACCCCCAAAAAGAGAGAGAGAGAGAAAAAAATAATCACGAAAAACCCTGAAAAACAAGCAGATGCAAACATTAACCTGCTTATCTAAAACTGCAATCCTTGTGACACCATCCTAACCGCGCAGCTACGAACCAAAACCTCCACTTAGTTAGAACGCAGGATTAACATATTGTTAGAATCCTATTGATTTGTTAGCTGATTAAAACGCGCGCTGAAAAAGAATTGGAGGGGATTTGCTAATGACTACAATGATCTGTTGCTTTAATTCCCAGCAGAATTCTTAAATTCAAATAGTTTAAATGAAATGAGAACAGCGTGTGGTAAACACTATAATTAAGGAAGAGAATAGAAACCCAGGGAGCTGAGCATCAATTAAGAAGAACGCGGATATGCTTTGAAAAGGAGCAACAGAAAAGGAGAGAGAGAAAGACCGGCAGAGACAGGAAAAGGCAGAAAGATGGAGAATGGAGGAAAAAAAAGAGCAGAGAAAGAGTTTGAAACTAATTAGAGCCATTTTCACTTCAGTTATGATTTCAATCAAAACCGTGAAAACTTGTTTTAGTCTATGTTTCTTCCTGCGTGCAATTTAAAGGGAAATGAAAGACTGGAAAAGTTAGATCACAGCCAGTTTAGCACTGAGTTGACCTGATCAGCAAGTAGCAGTGTTGGGGACAGACTGGAAAAAAGTTACAGCTTTACAGATAAGATCTTCAATCTTCCAAACTGCTCGCCAGCTTATTTGGTCACTTTGATCACTGCAAACATGTCTGACGTTTGAGAATTAAATTCCGGACTGTTATATAATTGAGCCGAGACCTGCGATAGCCAATGAGGCCGACATCGAGTAGCGGGAAGAAAAGCATTTTAAAAGAAAAAAAAAAAAACAGCTGCAGCAGTGAACACAACAAGCTGGCGTAGTGTACAGGTTTGACAGACAGCTGAAAGAGAGGAAAAAGCTCCTTGAAAAGGTAACAACAACAGCCAAGGCCCGATATAACATGTCTTCTGAGACATATAACTCTATAGACAAGAAGGGGAACCGGGGAGAAGTTGTACAAGGTAAAAGTAGAGCGAGCTCCACAGAGACAAAGAGTGTGAGTGACTCAGTGAGAAAGAGACGCAGCGAGCATGCAACAGAAAGAAAGCCAAAGCCTGTGGCGAGTTTACCTGAACAACATCATGTAGTGGGTGATGCAGTGTTTCACTGTGTGTATAATTAGAGGAAAATCTCTGAAGTCTGCAGTGCAATCTGATGTTAAAAGCAAGTCCTGTAGTCTTTATTACGCATTGGTGCACTTACTCTTTGAGGGAGCTCGCAGATTGGAGGACACCACCCTCATGGAGTCCGCTTCCACCTTCAGAACGTAGCTGGAATTGGCCTCGTAGTCCAGGGGCTTGGCTGTGGAGATCACCCCTGTCGTTTCATTTAATGCAAACATGCCTGGAGAGAAGAAGAGACGGAGTTATAGCACAAGACGGCGAGGGAGGGTTTTCGAATGTCTTGTTTAAAGCAAATGGCCAGTGAGTGGGCTGCTTCACAGAGGAGACTTTTACACAGTGAAATGGAAGTAGCGCGCCCTGAGCTGCTGACAGCGAGGGTCTGACCCGGAGGTGCTTTGAACGTTTTAGATATAAGAAGCTTCAGTAAGTGTCAGAAAGCCGGTCCGCGAGTGAACACTGCGCGTTGTATAAACAGCTCGGAGCGGACTCACCTCCCTCGTTGCCTTCGATGATGGAGTACACGATGGTTTGATTGACAGCGGCTGCCATGATGACTCCCACCGGGGTTCCCACGGCAGCCTCCTCGCTCACTGGCAGAAACCTGGGAATGGATCAGTCAATCAATATCAAGTGATAAGAAAATTAAATATGTATATGTCGACTGTGGGCCCGCTTCCTCTCAAAGGGCAGCTGCAACTTGGCAAGTTAAGTGCAGCGGTGAGTTAAATCTGTTAAACATGTCCAAGATATTTTTTCCTTCCTTCATGCTGACAGCTTTATGTTTCACCCGCAGAGATAAACTATGTGCAAGCTGTGTTCACATTTTTATAAAAACTAGAGGGCATAGCAATCAGGTAGCAAGTTGTTCTTGAAAACTGTGTCTGGAGATGAAGTGAGAGCTTTCTGCTGAGCAACATGCTTGGCAATGAGTTCATCTGTAACAGCATGTTCTGTTGGATCATGTAATTCAGATGGTCAGTGTTGTCCAACAACATGTAAATATTAAGCTGCTGATCGAAAATGGCTAAAATAGTCAAGGCGCTCTCTGCTCAGGTGGAGAGGAGTTCACTTAAGTGTAGCTAAAAGGTTCAAAATAACTTAAAAATATATATTTTAACTTTTAGAGAACAGCTGGTGAACGCTACGGCTGCAATTATCGATACAACTGATTAACATGTAACTTGTCAAATGTCCAAAAAACAATGAAATCGAATCACAAGGAATTTGTTTAAGCTGCACTTAAAGATAAAGATACTAAAAAGGGCCATAAGAACAGGACTAGAGACAGAGGCTATAAAGGCAAAATGAACAGATTCTGGGACATGAGAGACTTTTTCTGAGACATTTTAAGGTTTGCAAAGCTGAGGAATGAGTCCTTTTACATTGTCAGGCTGTTTTCACATTATTATTTCATATTGTTGCTGCATAAATGCCATTACAGGTGAGGAATTAAACCACATTAACTCAAAAAGTCTGTTTTCAGTGTTAAATAACGTATAACTCCAGTAGAGATTACGTCGGAGCCGGTGTGACATTTAGAGTCCACAGAAAAGAAAAAAAAAAAGGATTAATCAACAAATTAGTAGCTGAATAATCCACCTGCAGCAGTAAAAGACTTATGTTAATGACGTGGAACAAAGAAAAAGTGTGTCTGTTTGGGTGAAATGTGCTCTCATACGGTACATTTGGAGCAGGTTGTCTTATTAGAGGCCAGAGCCCAGCAGCGCAATTAAACCATCAACGGCTTTCAAAGAGAGCTTGTGCATGGTCTTGTGTTTTTTTGTTTTTTTTTTCCGTCCACCTGCCTCTGATTGCACGTGGTGGGCAGTTTTGTGCTGCTTACAACCCTGACAGATTTTCTTCGAATCTGGCAAGTCTCAAATTTCCAGCAGGTTTCACTCCATTAAATAAACCCAGTCCAGTCATTAGGCCAACCGTCACAGCTGGCTAAACATTATAACATGGGCTACCAACTGGCTAAGCTATCAAGTCATCGCAACGTGATAAATGGGACCGTTGGAGAGCGAGGGGTGGGGGGACTGTGTGTGAGTGTGTTTGTGTAGATTTGAACTTCCAGTCCAGTCAATTGCTTCTCTAACCACCTGCTCCCCACAAACACTCCACTAAGCAAATATACATGAAGCTCATTGGCTGCATATTGATTTAAATGAAGAAGACGAAGCTGTTCTTCTTCTTCTTCTTCTTCTGCTTCAGCTGTGTAATATGTAGAACTTTCACGCAGCAGGCATACTGACCTGAAAAAAAAAAGAAGCCCTGGTGTCATTAATGAAAGTCACGACGGCTCTGTTCTGCTACATCCAGCTATGACGGCGTGACAGTGAGCCGTCGTGCGCGATAGCAAAACCCTGAAACTGAAGCGTCCAAATTAAATTCAGCCATCATTCATTTCATTATTCACACCTCTCTTCCCACTGTGAGATGTCAAAATGTCCTCTGCGAAAAAAGCCTATTTTGCCGACAATACAGTCCCAGACTGCTGTTAATTTAGCGATGGCCGAAATGTCCTTTCAGATGTATTTGGGGTATTTTCTTCCCCTTATTACACAGTGTACAGCACGTAAAAAGTGAACTGGAAGAAAGGGAAAGAGGGAAAGTTTAACAATAGCCCCTGGCCACACTGGAAAAAAAAATGGGGAGTTGTATTTTTTTGGTTTTTTTCTTGCATTTTCTTCCGTAATCAGTATAAAGCCGAGCAGCAGGGCGGACTTTCACCTGTGCCACATGCAAAGTATGTTCTTCATACTGTGTTGAATGGAATTACAGACACTAATATCCAGAAATGACTATTCACATTTTACAACTTTGTACTTTTTTTCTCAGAACCCTAAAACCCACCAGCAGGTATGACAGGATTATTATTACTTTTTTTTTTTTAAATTTGCTAAAATTATGCCATTTATCAGAGCCAGTAACTGAGAAGTCATTAATGACTCAGCTGCAGCCAACATTCACATAAAAAAATAATTAAGGGACTTGATTCCAGCTTTTATCCTGTTATTAAAAAAAAGAAACCTATATAATCAAACATATAATCAAAGTAATTTAACTTTCTGATTCATGGCGTCACCACTGTGTCATAAAGAACAAACGAGATCAGTGAGTTCTTCTGACTTCTCGCCATAGTTGTGCTGTTTCTATAACAACGCAGGACTTTATATTGCCATGAGAAGTAAGTAAACATGTGACAGGAGTAAAAATTGCCCAAACTGTTGGGGTTAAAGTCTGTGCAGTCACTGATTTAACCCCTAAAAACTCATCTCTGTGTGCTGTAGCTACATGGGTAGAAGTTTTTTTTGCCTGAAAAGAATCGTTTTCTGGCATAAAATGTCTTAAATGTCTCACCTATGATTCTGCTCAAACACTGTAAAACTACTCTATGCTAATGGCAAATTATAATATTGGAGTTATTCAGGCACACACACTGAATTTGTATTTGTTTTTTTTGCATCTTAATAGCTAAACATGAAATGATTTGACTCCTCTTGCTGTAATATTTTTCCTCCCACTCCTCTGCTTGCTTTCCCTTTTTCTCCACCGCTTCCTCTTTAAAATTTCCCACTTACACTCCCTTCACGGCCATCTACATTTCTCCTCCCGCCTTTTATCGCCGCCCTCCCCCGTCCTTTCCCTTTTTTTTTTTTCCCCCCTCTGGCTGCTGCTTCCAACCAACATCCCAGGAGCTACTTCTGCTTATTTACTGTCCTGTCTTGCTCCCACTCCTCCACATCGGCTGCTTGGTATGGATGAGGAGCACACAAAAACACATGAAAGGCGACACGCTGAACTTTGTGCACACGTACAGTACGACCATACGGATGCACAAATGTACACGAGATGTGTTGGAGTACAGATAATAGCCCACACAGGTCATTATGAAGCCTCCCCCCCCTCTCCCTCTCCTGCTCTCTAATCACTGCTGTCCTGACTACAGCAAGCTGGGCTGATACTGATAACAACAGAAAACACACACAGACACACACACACTGCTATACTTATTGGGACAGTGCATTGACTTTCATTGAGGAGGCCCGCTCTAACTGCTCATAATTTTAACATTAACCCTACAACCAGCTCCGTGGTCTCCACCTTAAAGCAAACAGCGCTGAGGCTGAATGCCGGCTATAGGACGTCGTAGCCTTTCAGAGCGGCGTTCGGAGTTTCTGCAGCGTGAAAGGATAGACAGAATAATGAGGATAGTGATAGATGTTGGCAATGATACCCTCCTCTTTGTGGGTCTTTCTCTCAAAGCCACTGTCATTCGTTTGTCTCACTCATTACGATTTTTTTTTCCCCTTCACTTTTTATCCCGTCTCTTTCAGCTCCCGTTTCCTTATGATGCATCATCTTCCGCCCTCTTGTCATTATTCTTTCCGTCCCTCCTCATGCCGCTCCTTTTCATTTCTCTCTTTCTCCACCGCAATTCTGGTTCTGTCACTTCTGATAATCTCTTTCTTTTCTCGGTGTGTCTTTGTCCAAAAGCAAACCACAATATGCTCCGTGCCAAGCATCGCTTTAGTTCTGTGGGGCTCAGGCAACGACGCCTCACAAAGGCTTTTTTTTTTTTTCTTGTACATGACAGTCATGTTTGATCTACTGTATCACATACTTTACAACGTGTGGGAGGCCGTGCCTGGGTACATGCTGATAGCTAGAAAGATGCACGCAATGTGGTCTGCTTTGTAGCAAAGTTCAGTTTTATTTATTTCACAGCACAGCCTCAGGCACGACTATAGTTAGCCAAAATATGTTAAATATCGCTATAATAATATTAAAGCAAGCTCATTACAGTTTCATTAAGGTTCTTTTGACTGCAGCCCTGTGGGAAATCAGATTGTGGAAAAGTGGAACTGTTCAAACTGCAAGACAACGCAACACACACACACACACACACACACACACGGAAATCAATCTGTCAAACAACGGGCTCCTTAATTGTTCAGGCAACTAGCCAGACATTGTGACCCCGCTCACGCAGAATATCAATATCAAACAGCAGAATTTGGTGAATTCTAAAATTAATTGGAGAAGATTAAAGAAGGGCTGAAATTGGGTTTTAAAGTGTTCAAAATGCCAGGAAGCCAGGAGCCAGTTAATAAACAAACAATAATATTAATGAGATACAACATTAAAAAGGCCAAAACTAATTCTTCTTTGACATTACCTATTTTCAAATTACGGGACAAAGGACATCACTAAATGCTTTTTTTTTTGGTGTGAATCAATTTATTTTCATTATAAATTAGGCCTACACACATTAATATGCATGTTTTGCAAAATTTTCCTCTACATTCAGGCCTGTCATTGACAAGCAAACAGCGTTTTTGGCCATGGATTGTGAAAAGTGAAGCTTTTTTAGAAAATCTGGTTTGTGTTTATCAATGTGGACGTACACAAAAACTACTGCAGGAAACAACAACGGTGTCACATCTCATTTCACACATTTGCAGAATGAGCAGGTGTCTCAAAAAGGGACAATAACATCAGATATATGTATACAGTGGTTTAACGCTTGGTTAGCGCGACAAAACTTTCTCCATCTTCGTCGCCAGTGTTATTTGGTCAACAGCATCTGTGGTTTAA